TGGTGAAAAACGAAATTGTGGTATCAACTTAGCAGGTCTGAATAGACTAATACAAGAGGAGTTTATATTTGATGTGTGATCTAAAACGGATCTGGATATTTACAGCCTGAATACCACGGACATTTTGCCTTTATGATTGGTAGATACTTTAGCAAACCGATGCGAGCATGGCGAAAAAGTGGCTGAGAACATGTTAGCACGAAAAGTCACCTGACTTAGAGTGGTGTTTCGCAATAAGAAGTAACGATCATATATTATAAATCTGCTAGGTTCACTAAACAAAGTTAACACATACGACAATAGGACCCACCGGTGGGTCGTAAGATTTCTGAAGCTCTAGCTTTTCCATTGCACGATGGAAATTCACGGGGTTGTGGCAATGATTGTGGCACCTAGACGGCCAAGTGGTCGGGCTCGGGATATTGTAATGTAATGTTACGATAGGTATACCGTAGATAGAGATAAGCAGGGTCGAGCAAGAGATGTGGCACACAAGTGCCGGATACGACCCCCCCCCCCATTCTCTACCCGTGGCGTGGGGGTGACACTGGGTGTCGAAGTGCGATGCACAACCCGAGTGTATACTCTGGTACTGCGTCCCAAGCTGTGAAGGAGTTCGACACGGTTTCGGCCGGATGCTTAGCTAAGAGCCGGCAAGGCCAGATCCCTCGCTTTCTGACTTTTTCCGGTTGCTAGGCGGTCCGCCCGCTCCACACCCGGGTCATTGATCGCCCCCCTGGAAATCAAGAGTTGACCTAGTAAGTTTACTCTTGTAGAAGAAGTATTTTTATTACTCAATCAGCAGAAAGAAGAGCCCTGAAGAAAGAAACCCTGCACATCGGATCCCCCTACAGCGCCGGATGGTAGCAAGGACGATGTCAGGGTACTCAGGGCGCCTATCGGATTGGACAAAAAGACACGTCTGCCCGGACGACACGCCACGGAGGCTGCCTCATGCTCTGCACCTACGACGCCAGAACAGTCTCCACAAACGCCGACCTCCACGCTCTTTTCGACGCTGCAGAGCACATCAAGTATCACGTCATCGCTCTGCCGGAAACGAAGTCCCTGGAATGAGGGGGTGCGACAGATGAGTGAAGGGACCCTCGTCATTCGTGGTGAAAAGGTTCCATCACGAAACGTTGAAGGCATTGGCTTTGTCGTCCACCCATCTCTCGTCCATCTTATCGATTCGCATGAGATCCTATCACCTCGCCTGGCCATCCTACGACTACGACCTCCACATGAGAAGACCATCAGCATTATCAACTGCTACTGTCTAACATCAGCAGCTGACGAATCAGAATAGACTTTCTACGAAGATTTGGAGAGGTTGTCCGCAACGAAAAGTCCTATTGGGTGACTTCCGACTTCCACGCGAAAATTTCCACAAGCCCTAGTTTTCGAAAAATATCGAATTTGGCTTTTCTCATTCGGATGTTCGATGCTAAATGCAATGAAAAACACATGACTACCGCCGCGGAATTCTTGCAATATTGGCAATACTGAGTTCACAAACATATCTTATATATAAAGCTGAATGTCTGTTTGTATGTATGTATGTATGTCTGTATGTCTGTGTGTACGTATGTTCCGAATAGAAAATTCCATTTCTGAACCGATCCGGACCAAACTTGGCACATATACACTTCGGGCCCCGGCGCGTGTCATAGGCTACTTTTCGTCATCGATCGATATCGATTTTATCGATTTTTATCGATTTTTTTGCAGAGTTCACCTACGGGGCTGGGAGTTGGCACAGGGGGTAAGTGAGCATGGGGATTCCGAATACAATATTAGTTTTCAGGATTATCGATTACTTTTATCGATTTTATCGATTTTTTTTGCAAAGTTTGAGCTACGGGGCTGGGAGTTGGCACAGGGGGGTAATCGAGCATGGGGATTCCGAATACAATGTTGGTTTTCAGGATTATCGATTACTTTTATCGATTTTATCGATTTTTTTGCAAAGTTTGAGCTACGGGGCTGGGAGTTCGCACAGGGGGGTAATCGAGCATGGGGATTCCGAATACAATATTGGTTTTCGGGATTATCGATTACTTTTATCGATTTTTTCGATTTTTTTGCAAAGTTTGAGCTAGGGGGCTGGGAGTTGGTACAGGGGGGTAATCGAGCATGCTGATCATCCCCAAGGGGGGTGATCAGCCTGCTCGATTACACCCCTGTGCCAAATTCCAGCCCCCAGCTCAAATTTTCAAAAAATCGATAAAATCGATAAAAGTAATGGATGATCTTGAAAACTAATATTGTATTCGTAATCTGCATGCTCGATTACACCCTGTGCAAACTCCCAGCCCCGCAGGTCAAACTTTACAAAAAAATCGATAAAATCGATAAAAGTAATGGATGATCCTGAAAACTAATATTGTGTTCGTAATCAGCATGCTCGATTACCCCCCTGTGCAAAATCCCAGCCTCGCATCTCAAAATTTACAAAAAATCGATAAAATCAATAAAAGTAATCGATAATTCTGAAAACTAATATTGTATTCGGAATCCCCATGCTCACTTCCCCCCTGTGCCAACTCCTAGCCCTGTAGGTGAACTCTGCAAAAAATCGATAAAAATCGGTAAAATCGACATCGATCGATAACGAAAAGTGGACTGTGACACCCGCCGGGGCCCGAAGTGTATGTGTGCCAAGTTTGGTCCGGATACGGCGGAGCCGGGTAAGCCAGCTAGTATATATATATTCTTACAATCTTTCTGTCATCTAATTCTATACAAGATTCAAAATGATATGATCGTTTGCGACATTGTTCGGAAGAGCAGCGTGCTTCTCTAATTTTCAAAAGAAGCGCTCAAATTGAATTTTATAGACGTCTGTCCTCATGAAGACTAGCACCAAATGGAGAGGGGGTAAGAGAGGGAGTTCTTTTATGAGCGCGAGCTTGGATAAGCATACTTGCAAGACTGTACGTCAACGCACCTTACCTAATTTTTGGAGCAAACACAATGAGCGATTTCAGGAGTTCTGGTTTAGTTACTAAGTGGTGGTAAACACCTTGTAGGTGGCCCACTTGACCGAGTCCAACTTTGTGCAACTGACTTTTGACTGTAAATTACAGAGATAATGGATTCAGATTTCACCAAAGACTTTGATATGATTTAGTTTGCTCATTCAAGTTGGTGGATATAATAATCTCTCATTTTTTAGCCTAGCTACACCATGCTGCGTAAGAGTACTGTAAAAAATTTCGATTATATACATCAACGCTTAATTAACCATTTTCATGTTCTGCAGCGCTTCATGCTTTGAGGCAATTTGATTTGCTTCGAGATAGGCAAGGCAAAAATGCGGGTGAAAATATTAACTTTGCGTAGCACGCACTACGGGCTAATAGGCCTGTAGTGCGTGCTATGCAGAGTTAATATAATGCTAGTCAAAGCTAATATAACTTGAGCAATGCTGATGGCCAGGAGGCATGCATCCGATTTTTTTCTGCATTTGCGAAGCGACGTACTATACAAATTATGTCTGGTAGGGTATTTCTTTATATATGCGCGAAAACACGTAAACACGGCATCAAACGAAAACTATAATTATTTCACTAACGCGAAAAGAACAATCACTTCTAAATCAAGGTTGTTTCTGCTAATCAGTATACATACAATACACCTCAAGTTGATTCCTTTAATTGTGATGAAGCTCCTCGCTCTCCTCGCTTTCTCAATTGGAACATCAGGGCCTGTAGTAATCTACCCCAGAAAGTCACAACATATATGAGCTAAGCTCACGACACTCATTCTAATTACGAACTTAGCGCGATCTTAGCGCAAGCCCAATTGTCTCCGCAAAACTTGCACGCTCACGGGCATCGTATCTTTGACGTGATGATTGCGAACAGCGAGCACAACCACTACGCTATACCAACCGATTTGTTGGCAAGCGTTTGCAATACATGAATGCAAAAGCATGTTCCACCTCTTCCTTGAATGATGTTTTTTGTTATTCAAAATTTTGTAGGATTTGAAGATTCGTGGATGAAATACTTCATAGTTATAAGATGTTCAGTTGTTCTCGTAAAAATTATTTCCAAGAAAGACCTGTTTAATTATTCAAGGGGAGCCAAGATGTCGCTTACATTGGGAAGCATGTACGAACTACAGGGTCAGCCAGAAAATCCCTTTTAAACCTTATCTCTATACATATATATATAAAGCAGAAAATCTGTGAGTTTGTTTGTGCACATTCGGGTGCAGGGTGTGCAGGTTGTGCAGGTTGTGCAGGGTGTACGGGGGGGGGCAGGCGTTATGGAGCAAAGCAGCGCCGCATTACCCTGCGGTACATCCTGAGGGCCAGTTGCGTTGCGTTGCCTTTAATTGCAGCCGCAGGAGTACGCCGCTCCTAACAACAAACTGAGCCATTCCCTATAGCTATGCCTTGAGAAGATGTCCAAACTGCATGAATGCAATAAAGGTATTTATCGAAAAATAGATGGATTTACGGGTGCAAAGGCTTTTCGGATGAGAATAAAAGACTGATTTTGAGTGTTACACGAAAATTGGTAGAGAAAAGGGACAGAAAGTCTTCGTTAGTGACTTCTCAAGCTTTTACTTTCCCTTGGGTGTACTCTCAAACACTTCTTTCTCAGAATCTATTTTTTCATCCTCAAAATTCGTTTAGCTTCCGCATTTTGGTCTCTCTACAATAGAAAAATTTTGAGAATAATTCAGTTTGCTGGGTAACGCTAGCTCCTCTGTGGGTGCAATCAAAAGCGACACAACGCAAAGGACCCTCAGGATATACCGCAGGCGAATGCGGCGTAGCTTTGCTTCATAACGCCACGCCGCCGTGCGAGGGGGGGGGGTAAGTGAACATGCTGATTCGAATACATTATTGACAGCACCGGGCGGAGCCGGGTTTGCCAGCTCGTTAAGCTATAATTATAAGTTTCAGAATACATTTAACAGCACAGTGTTGTCTCCTCAACTTTTTACAGCTCTAAACTCAGCAGCATGTGAAATTGATCTCAAAAATGGAAGGAATCACCTACTCGGAGGTGAGCAAAAACTACATGCCATTCGCTGAACTAATATTTTAATGATTTGCATATCAGGCCAAGTTGACGCAAACGGTAGCCTCCGCAGCAACCTGTGCGGTATCGTCAAACGATGGCGAGATGTATCAGCAGGTGATCGTCAAGCATTATTGACTTATCAGTGCGATTTTCCCTACTGAAAAGAAAACGAAATGAAAATTACTGAAGAAGACGAATCACCGACACAGAATTTCTACTCTAATAAGCCAGCGACTCTAAACTATTTTCGAATTCCTACCGTGATCCTAAAAGGAGAGAGATTGAAGCTTCGCGTTATACTGTAGTCCTATGCTGAAGCTAGACCTACCGTGTGGAAGCAAAGAATCTGCGAAAGCTTTCCATACAAGAAAGTTACTAGCCATCAAACGTTTGATACACTTTTGGGTACAGTGCATAAAGAATGGCTTTCAACGTTAGTTTGGATGGACTCGTGAACTCTAGATATAGAGCATCTACTTTTTTAAGTGTCGATCGTAAAATGGCTCATAAAATGTGTTGAATGTTCATGTAGTTACCTTGATTTTGTCATACGCATCTGAGGCTGACACGCGAAAGACTAGACCGATATGATTCCGTCATAAAACCTCAAAAAAGACATGCAAAAAGGTTGTATCACCGTTGTTACCCATAGTGTCGACATATCAAGCCGCTGACTCCGCTGAATCATAGCTGTCAGGTTATTCAGCTCATTGTCAGAGGGAAATGCCATTGCTATACTCGGCACGTCCTGAATCTCACCGCTCAACTTGACTTCAACAAGGTAAGCAATGTTTTCCCTTGCCAGTTTCTCTATGTTCTCTATATTTCCTCAGAAGCGCTTTCCATCGAGAATGGGCTAGCCTCAACTGAAACGTAAATCAAGTAATAACAACCGAGTAGATTAGCACGTATATCTCGTCTCTTAAAAACAAATGTTTTTTTCTTAAATCTGTAACATTCAGCAAAACGTCTTTGTCATTGTATTCGGAGGTAGCCATTCTAAGCGGCGATGGAGTGGCTAGCCATCATCATACTTTGTATCCAGGTAAACTTTCAGCAAATGACTCAATGTCACAGGCGCTTACCAGTTCTGTTCCTTTCAGTTTGGGTGGATTTCACCCTGCGTTTTTGACAAAGTAGAGGTCGTACCGGGTTTGGTATATCAAGAGATGATCAAGGACGAGAGTGGGTGCTTTGCTGCATGCTACGAGAACAACACGTGCATTGCACTTGCTTACAGAAAAGTTAGTCAGTTAAACAATCTTTACCCTTTAAACCAGATAGATATCATAGTGCATCTCTTGGTGTGACGACTATTGTGAGACATTTTGCATTCAAAGAAGCTTTTAATTTTTTTGCACCAAGAAAATAGTGAAGAAAAGCATGTTGCTCTCTGTTTCGAAGACATTTAATCTCAAGCAAGTCCTATCCAGTTTTCTTTGTTTTCTGAACTCTACAGCACGCTCCAGGCTGAGCGATGGAAGGTACAATATAAAGTTGTAAGGATAGCTTCCCGGCCTTTTCAAAACTTCGTATTCAATTTCAATGCACGTTCTTCGTAAGATTTTGTTGGAGGAGTTCAAGGTTTTTACCACTTACGTTTTCAGTAAATGTCAAAAGCTGTTAGTCTGCTTGCAGAGACAGAGGAAATCTTCTCAACATAGATTGTTTCACAATTTTTCCTTCCTCCTGCCAATTTTTACACTGAAAGAAGAGAGTTGTATACTTTCAAACGATCTAGATGAGCCTTCGATCAAATTTCCAACTGCGCTCGAATCTTGCAATAAGCCCACAAAAAATTTAAGATGTTAGATCAGCCTTTGACAGCAACTTTTTTCGCGCTCGTCGGATATGGGATAGCACGCCTAAGGAGTAGTTCAAAGTTGTTCGGAAACGGAATGATTTGTTTGTGCGTGAAATTGCCATATTCCCTATCTTTTGAACCTTTTCTTGCAGGCATTGTTTAGGAACATAGTTTCTCCTCGTAACAGCTCCAGTAGTTTCCTATACGACCACCTCATATGAGCTCTCCAGCGTACTATGCCTGAGACAATGCTGCCGAAGGACAGAACAAAGTGTTAAATTGTAGATTTTTTAGATTTATTTTTTTTGTTAGATTTTTTTCTCCCCTATGGAGAGGTCGCCCCCTCAAAACAACGTCAACTGATCAGTTTGGAGAAGTCACGAGAACAAAAAGTGTTCGTTCGTTCTCCCTCGAAACGATTGTTTTCACAGCAGTCTCAGCAAATGAAAAAACGCCGTTTGCTTCTATGCAGAACAACGTCATCATCAGTTCCAGTGTGTTCGGAGAAAAAGTTACAAGAAATTATATTTTTTATGAACATGAAACCATTACTAATGTACATTTAGGAAAGCTGAGCAGCACTGAGGTCAAAAGAGCACTTCTCTTACCCAGTTTATAAGGACATGTAATCAAGGACTCCAGACATTTGAAAAATTCTGAGATCTAGCCCATTAGATCTTCCTTTGTACCTTGAGAATAGTGGAGGACATGTCACAAGCTTGGAGCGTTTACGCCGCAGGCTAGCAGAAGCTGGTGCTGAGCAGTGTCGCTGCGATAAACGCACATTTATTTGTCAAGAGTGTTACAATTATGCAAGGTGGCAATAAACAATAGGTCCAACGCTTGCTACTTTATTAATCAAAAAACGCCCTGTACTCATGCATTTCTAGATGGTGGTTGAAAACTTAAAAAATTTCCAGCTTAGCCCATGCGCATCACATTGCTGATTTAGAAGTGCATTGCAGTATTATAATTGTAGCTCTCAAGATTAGCGGCTTACTTCCGCTCACATCCATGGTTTCTACTCAGTATGGCTTTCCTCAAAGTACTCCTGGTATCTGAAAGTTAGCAAAGTCAACAGATTTCAAAGTTAACCGCTCATACGTAATAGCAGCCATCAGAAAATTGGAACGATGGAAACGTTGATTTTCAAACTTGCAAACGTGCATGGAGACACCCTGCGATTGGTGTGTTTAGACAGCTTGATCCAGCTAAACGCAGCAAAATTTATAAATTCTCGCAATCTTAAAGTCAGTCATTTCGCAAGGATACGTAGTTCATTCATTACGAATCCTAGCACCACAGTCGAACCCTAACAGAATCGCGAGCTTCTCACTTCAATCACTCATTCTCTACAAACGTAGTTCAGCTTCAATTGTCTAATCCTGGTCTCCTGATAGCACTTCGCTTCATTCCATCTTCCTCAGTACTACTGCTTTCAGAAAAGAGTAACTAATCAGTTGTAGAGGCTGCGGTGTCGCTCTTCAGTCGCGTTCTGTTATACGTACTAATCAGAATTTCATCAAAATATTCTTTAGAGCACACGTACATTCCTGAAGATAAGCATGAAGTTTCTGCTTTTTCTAAGTCTCCTGGGAGCTTGTTTATCAGTACTAACGAGTGCGCAACCTGGAGAATCAGAGTAAGTTTTATTTACTTCGTCCTGATGGGCAGCAAAAATTTGATCCTTTCAGGAAAGAATACAGATGGCCCAGATGGCCACCACTACACCCATACGTATGCTGCAAACCAAGGTGTCTGGAAGTCAGATTTGAAGAGTACCAGAGATACAAGCCCCCAAGCCCGTTGTTCGATTCGCTAAAAGAATGCGAAAAATATTGCTCTTCCATAAGATTTAATGCCTCGATTGTGAAGGATTGCGACGATTTTTATGACAAAACGATAGTACCGGGATTGAATTTGGATTTTTATTAAAACAACGACCAAATTTCCTCATTGCCTGTTTTTTCTTGCAAGATGTGAATAAAGCGTTGTTTGCAGCACGTTCACAGAGATGTTCAGCATAAGAAATACTCTACTACGCGGTGTAGGCAAGAGAGACGGTCAAAGCACGATCTCCAGAGGTCATCAGTTTAGCAGCGTAATTTAGAGCTAGAACAGTGTTCCAAGTATACTGACAAAGTGCTTTAGCTTACTTACAAGAGGAGGACCCAGACTTGAAAGAATCGGGTGAGTTACAGACCATCTGAATCAGCGTGAAACGTCTCAAATCTGTAATCATTATCTAGTGACTCTCTAAAAAATTATGAGTTATCATCAATTATCCTCGTTAATATGCACAGTCTTGTTGAGTACGGTTCGCAACGGTAAACCAGATGTGGTGGTAGGGTCAACAACGAGGGTGGCAAATGGACACCGATGAACGATTTCGCTTTTGTCGCTATTAATTTTTTACGATCTCCCACTTGATCGCGGCAGCTGCACAGGTTGTTTGATTGGAGCGCATTGCTATCCTCTTAGGAGAAGTGGGAAAGTTCTGTAATCAAAATGTTTATTATACGCTAAACTTAAGTGCAGAACAAAATTACAGTACCCTCACTAACTATTCGACAGAAAACGCAAGAACTGACCCGCGTTTTTTTTCGTTTTTTCTTCATAACTTCCTTCAAATTCCTTGAAATACGAATTCGAAGAAGGCATGATGTTTAGCTCGTGAAACTGGATCTTCTGATATACTACACTCTCCTACTAATCCGTTTTCAGTCCGCTCGATTTTTGTGTGGGGGCGGGTTTTCGTAGTGGTGTAACTCAGCGAAGAACACACATGGAAAATTCACGTAAACATGATTTGGTAGAGCTGTTCCCGTAGATCAACAAGTACTAGCGAACAGCAAAGGATCCCCTTTCCATAGAGAAAGATAGGCCGAACTTTTGGAAAAATTGATATTTCTAATTTTAGCTACCGTAACCATACGGAAAGGCGCTGATTTGCAAAGCATGTTGTTTTTCGTGATCAGCAAACTAGATAACCTCTATGTGCAAGTTTTCAGAAAAATTGGGACCCTTTGATTTTTTTCTCGTTTTAGGCTCTGAAGCTCGCCCACGGGTTTCGGCTAAAATATTGAATATCCTGGATTGACAGGAAACTTCGCCCATAGAGGTACTCGGACTCGCTGGTTACGAAAATAGTGTTTTTTGTGCACCGTAAGTTCTTTTAGCAGGGTTATGCTGAGAGAAATGCTGCGATAACACGTAAGTTCTTGAAGTTGTCTGCCCTTTCGCTTATCTGTTGGACAACTTACCTGCTCATTTTTGTGATTTGAAATCACTAGAGGCAGTGCTCTCCATGCTTAAATTAGGCCCTTATCTGTACTAATCGCCGAACTGTGAGCATACAAACACACGTTCTCATAAAAATCAAAATTTCAAGATTGCATATTTGATCAAATATCACCGCGAATGGTTACAGATCACTCTGATTGCAGAGATTATGTTTATGTACATACATATGTAGAATAACCTTGATATGGTTACAGATCACTCTGATTGCAGCGATTATGTTTATGTACATACATATGTAGAATAACCTTGATACAGCATACTTGCTTACCCCCATGTCAACTCTTACACCTGTAGCTCAAAGTTTGCAAAAAAGCGATGGAGTCGGTAAAAGTAATGTTTTCAAAAACTAACATTGTATCCGTAATCAGCAACTCACCTATAGGCATCGCACGCAAACACTGCGGACGTATCGGCTTCTCTCCAACCAAGCGCCCTTTCGCTTCTCTTGGTACCTGCTGTCTCTCCCATGCGCGAGCTATCGTGGTCGGACGCAATGGCGCCCAGTCTTTGCGTGTTATGAATCACCGATACTTTCCCTTTTCCAGCACGGTCGCTCAAAGTTCGCAAAAAATTTATAAATCGATGTCGACCGATGACGAAATGTAGTCTACGAAAACAGCTCGGCCCCTAGGTGTGCAAAGTTTGGTCTGCATTGGTTCAGAGGTGCCGTTGGAACATACGCACAGACATACAGACACATGCCAAGCAGACATTCACTTGAAGGCAGCGGCTCGCCAAAACCGAACATTCCGAAATTTTGACATGGAAGGTTGCTTGCACCCCAAACATGAGAACAGAGCAGGTCCAAGCGCATGCATGCTGCCCTTGCCTAGACCCGTTACGCGCAAGTCATTCTAATAAGCGCGGAAGCTTGCGATTCTCCCTGACCCATCAGAGAAGGGGTGTGGTGCGGAAGGCTACAATTCCCAATTTTGTGCCTATCAAAAACTCCCCTATGCTAAAGTGACACGGCGGGGGACTACGGGATGTGGGGGGGGGGCAGATACACTACTCGGTGCTACAAGTAGAATCCGCAAAAGTTATTGAGACGGACGATGCTTGCATTTTGCGCCGATTGTCGCCTTCCGCGTCCCCCCCCCCCCCCAAGGAAGCATGCCGCAATGTTATAACTGCGTGGGTCCCGCAACGATTCTGCTTCTCTAATCATGGGCGGGACGTGTTCCAGTGGTCCTAATTCAAAATGGGTGGCCTTGGAAAATGGCGGTTTTTGCCATTTTCGCGCTCTTCAAGGTGCATCTTCGGATCAGCGCCTCGAATTACCTCAGGTAAGCAAAAAAACATCAAGTCCATAATTTGGCGAGCTTTTAAAGGCAGTGTTCGGGCGAAAAACTCGATTTTTAGAAAGTCCACTTACGAGGGTTATCTGTAACGCTGAATCCGAACATCCACATTAGAAGGCGCGATAACGGCGAGAACATGCGTTTTCCAAAGTCTTACGATCGACGGTCCCCACCAGGGCAGAGATGCAGACTCACTGCGGTACCCTACATTTTAATTGTAGCGGCATGCGTACTCTGCCGCATAGCAGGATTTTGGACAGGTGGGGAGGCCGCCCCAAGGCGTAAGTTTCCCCACCTTCCGGGCGTTTTCTTGTTTTAGGTCGAGCGTTATGGCGTCGCACTTGCGTGATGCTGTGTCTGAGGCCACTCTCGCATGACACTGAAATCCCAAAACCCCCATCTTGCCCGGACACTGCCTTTAAGTTGCACTGCATTCTTCTGTCGCACAGAACTCCTGTTAAGGCTCTCCATTTCATCCATGCTGTGTTCATCCCGCCTGCACCCTCCTCTTGTAAACCTCCCTCCGCTGAAATGTGACTGCTTAGGTGCTTGTATGACGTTGTCTTCTTTAGTTCTTCACCATCGACGCTCATGGTACTGGTACGCTTATGGTACTACCAGGAGTTTGTTTTCCACTTCCATATGTTCTGTCTTCCTGGTGTTGAGCTTCGGTCCATACAACTCTAGCCTGTTTTTCCAGTTTTGTACTTCGTTTTGTAGTTTTTTCCTGGTACTTGCTATCAAAACCACATCATCTGCGTAGAGAAGTGTCCAAGGGGGTTCACGCTTGAGTGTTCCCATCACGGCGCTATCACAGTGAAAGAAAAGAAGGGAAGTACCGAAATGAGCGTTATATATCGGAGAATCATTCTTCTTCTTTCTAGTGTTGGTCAAACAACCACTTTTGTTCAATTAACATCAATGCTGTTCATAACCGCCCAAGACAGTAAATTTTTTATGTTATTTATGTTTTACACTCAAGTTGTGCCAATATGAAAAACAAACAAACAAACAAACAAAAGCAAACACTAACAATAACAAGCAACTCATATCAATTCAGAAGGGACAAGGAGCAGTCCAAGAGAAGTGATCAGACGCAGTATAGGAACATCCCAGGCAATCATTTCTGCTTTATAGCCAGGGTGCTGCTAGCAAATAGGTTTGCAGCTCCAAATAGACTTTCAACTTGAATTCCAAACTTTCTGCCTCTGAAAACTTCCACTTATAATATTTGGGTGCCAACGAGCCTACGGGCGGAAGCTAGCTGGCGAAAACCAATTAAAAAAGGGTTTCTAAAGGTCAGCAAGATATCTTCACGCATACAAAGATATGCATGGCGATGATAATCTCCGAACAGGGAATATGCCCTTGTTTAGGAGAAAATGGGGATTACTAAAGTTCAATACTTGTGAGGTTGGATGTTTGGAGGCTGCGATAAAGTCCCCTGGGAAATAGTATGAGTTGACCATCTGCTAACAAATGCAAAGTGTATGGTTAGTGACAGTGCGGAAGTATTTCAAACAAGATGAACGATCCTCTTGAGCAGAAGCTGGTTCTTTGAGAGTAATAAATGACAAGTAATTGGAGGCAGAACACGAACTCGCAAGACGCCGGAATTGTAGAAGCCACATTGAACTGAAATGAAGGGACCATGTCTCACCAAAAAGATAGAAAAGTAGAAAAGCGTAAGTGAACAAGCGATACCTGAAAATCATCCATTTTTATTACACGTAGTACATTGAGATCTTCTAATTTTTTACGAAATATGTAAGAGTTTTCACTACTGATTACTTCTGTAGGCAGTAAAGCGAGCCATCTAGTTGTACGACAAAAGAAAGAGTTAAAAACTGATGAAAACAATTTTTTGTCAAGCTTACGATAGGAAAAATGAAACCCACCTGTGCGTTGGCTGCCAGGCTTGAAAATCAAATATTTACTCTGTCTAATTTTGGTTCCTAGGCGCAAAATACGGAAGCACAAGACTAAGTCGCTGACTACTCTCCTATATTTCAAACTTTGAAGCTTCAATTTTTCAAGGCGAAAGCGATAGGACGGCAATGACTGTGGATATCCTGCATCAGGAAAGCATCTATAGAGGACAATTCTTGTGAATGTTTTTTATATTTTCTCAATCTTCTCAATGTGTTTATTCCAAAAAGGGCTCCAAATGGGAGATGCATATTCCAGCTAACAAGGGAAGGTATATGATTCGCAGTGGAGTTTCCCTATTAGATGTACATCATTCGAAAGGTCTTTGATTGCTGATTTCAAAACAAACTTCCTTATCTGCTTGTCGGTTTACTGAACAAAGTTACAGGCAACTTCCCGCCT